AGGGATACATGGGCATTTTCAGAAATTTCTCCTTCTAGTGTTGCTCTCCTAACAGCAAAAAGATAAAGCCAACTATCATTGTTTACAAGTATGTTCCAACTTTAGGAAGTCCAGAGAAAGTGAAAGGGGCCTTAAAGCTCCACATCCGTTATACCTTCATTTTCTCAAGGATGAACTGGGGAAACCCTGTTGTGGAACATTATTGTACTGTGAATGATATATTAAAGCGTTTAGAATCTTGTCTAACCCACAGGGAGGTGCTTAATGGAGATTTCTTTTGTACAGGCTTCCTGTATTGTTTTCTAAAGCATAGATTATACATGTAGAAGGATACTGGGTTCACCTAACAAAAATGATGCATATAAATTTAATAGTCACAACATGATATTAAAAACAGCTGACAAAACAAGACAAGCCTATCTTCTATATTGCTAACTTAAAAATCTGATTTGTAGTATATTCAAAATATGCACCACTCCTGAAGAGATTTTCTTCCTGTGTTCTTCAAAACTACACAATGAAAGAGTCAGTGCAGCTGAAAAAAAAATACTGTAGTGAAGAATTTTGAAATCTATAGGTCAGTTTCGTATCCTAGTAGCAGTTTATATTTGAACAGATCTCAAGACCTTGTCAGGTGTAGATGATTTCTGTATACTCGGATGACCAGTTTTTCTGAAATATTATTGTTTAATGCATCTAAATACTTCCGTATTTCAAGGGACTGTGATATACTGCTCTCTACATGTTCCATCAGTACTCAGGTGAAATCGCACACTCTTCACTTCTATTGAAAAATAAGGATTCTTGAAGCAATGATTTCCTCATTTCTTTTAACACCTTACCTTACATTTCACTCTCTACTTTTTGCCTTGGTTATTTTCAGATGTATTTTTGCATTTTCTTTTTGGTTCATGCTTTCCCAAATTCTCAAAAGTGTTGAATCCATCTCTTTATCCCAAATTTGGTGTGTAGTAGAGACATCCATTAAATAGTTAACAAGTGAGGAATTACTAATTGAATGAAAAGAACATTAAAGAACAAAATGGAAGAGAGCAACTAAAAATTGTGTGTGTGTGTGTGTGTGTGTGTGTGTGTGTGTGTGTGTGTGCGTGTGCATGTGCATGTGCACTGGTACTAGAAGGCCCAAAGCAGAATAGCCATACAGTGCAGGAATTGGCTTACTCGTGAAACGGAAAGGCTAATTGCAGAGTAGATTTGGAGCATGAACTGACAGAGAAGTCTGCAGTTCCATTAAACTTGTTCCTCCTATTTTCAGTGATCTCCCACCCAGTCTCTTTCCATTAGTTGATTTTATCCTCAGGATGCCTTTTGCAGCAAAACAGTAACCAGATGACTATTTGAGCTTAATAGGGCTAAATGCTTTCTTTTGCAACAGAGTTGAGGAAGGGGTGTCACTTACCAATCGCACAGTTCTAGATGCTCAAACTGAAGTCCATGTCTCTCTATGAACCAATCCATGCTGAGCAGAAATGTGTGTGGTGATAGATGTGGTACCCAGGAGATGTGACCCAGGAAAATTGGAAAACACTAGGGGTCAACTTGGATTCACTTCCATTAAGCCAAGAGGAAAGCTATACAGTTTAATGAAGAGTTAAGAAGAAGGCTGATTGGTAGAATGAATTTGGAAGAGTTGCAACATGTATGCTGATTGGTCAGTAGTTTGAATTTCCAATGTTCTAAAAATAAGGTTGAAATGGCCCAATGTTAGACTGAGAGACAAATGAAATAAGTGCTAAAGCAGAACTGCACGTAGCTCGAAGAAAAGCAATTTTCTTCATATACTTTATCACATGGGTTCTCTCTGAATAAAAACACAAGTGATTCTTTTTTCCTCTCATGATGCCTAATAGCTAATTTTAGGCTTTTAATTTTGTAAAAGTTGATTCTAATGATTATGAAAATTGAGAGTTTATAAAAATTCAAAGTAATTACATTACATCTAACATTTTCTTTCTACTTGACATTAAATTATACAAACAAGAAAACCCCCAAGCATTCTAATTTAGAATGATATTCTTAGACTTGGTACAGGTATTATGTAATATTTATGAACTTTTTGAATTGTTTTGGCTTTCACAAGAGGTGAAACCACTTTTGCATTCAGCTTTGTTCTCTGTTTAGTCATGAAATAGCTAAGTGATCACCTATAAGTGCCATTCTAATCCTTATTTAATTGCCAAGCTAATAAAGTAGAACTTGTCATCCTATTCCTTTAGGAACTGTTTCCTAGCCTCAGACAATTGGACAGCAATCCTCATACCACCAGGACACTTGGCCAAACACTCCGGCTGTGCCTTGGATGTCCCCGCCTGGACCAGTTTTGCTTGTTTGGCAACCACATAACCAAAGCACACTGGATTCCTCTCCATAGCCATTCTAAACCCCAAAGAGCCTTCACTGCCAACAATACACAAGTACCCAGTATATTACTAAAACAATGGTGACAAAAACAAGAACATTATGCTGCAGGATTAAAAATGCTTATCATTTTCATTTATTATGCTAATAATGATAGTGTATTAATGAGAAATAAATAGCTCTGTAAAATAGCTAAGCTTGCCTGGCCAAAATGCTTGTGATGAGATAATGCAGAAAATGAAAATGACTCTAGCATTTTTAAAACTTAATTTTATTGGTACATTTTAGGTATGCAATATAATGATATTCATCATTGGAAATTTGCACCTTTACATAATCTTAGTTCTTATTTTATCCTCTATTCCCCTACCCTCCCTTCGACGGCTCCATCCCTTCCTATTTACAAAGACTTTGTTTCCATTTTTGCATTTTCTCATGTTAATTCCATTCCCCTCTTTCCTTTCCTCTCCCCCTCCCACTTCCCCTTTCCCTGTGCCCTTTTTCTTCCTATTTCACATTATCTTCCATACCTTGTAGTCCTTACTTACACTTTCAATTTCTCACACCAACGAAACTATCCCAGTATTTTTGTGTCTTCAAGTCTTACTGGTATTTAATAGGGATTTATGGTCACTTGGGAAGAAATGCGTCCGCCCAACTGTAGTTAGGAGGACAGGATTTTCTACTTTCCCTTCCAGCTCTTGGTACTCAAGGGATAAATTTTTTTCCTGTTGTTGCTGAAAGGATGGGTGGGACTTCAGTGAATCATCCTGGCGTGCCGTTAATGCTGTCCTCACCATCCTGTTTCAGGGGCTGAGAACCCACCTTCATCAGGCGGAACTTAAAGAAGTCTAGAGTCCATTGCCACAATTACTTTCCACACTGGATTTTCCACAGAGCAAGTTTAGTTTGGCAAACAGTGAAGACAGTATATGTTAAATAATATTTTTCCTTTCTGCAACCTAGCAAGAGTTTCTCCCTTTTCCTCTTCCCCATGCACCTCACATGTTTTACATAAATATAAATATATAACCGCGTGAGAAATATGTGGGTGGATAATTAGAGAGAGAGAGAGAGACAGAGAGAGGACAGAAAACTGAAGTAGATAGAGGTATGATTTTTAAACTGGTATTCCAAGATACTTTGCACCAGAACTTATTTTAATAGGCACATTCACATACAACTTTTCCCACGTGTCAATTTCTTTAGACTTTCAAGCTAACTCAGGATGAAATCGCCTTCCATCTTTAGCCTCACCAGTGTGCACGTGTGGAGGACTGCCGTGGAGAATCTGTCCTGTCAAATGAGGACCAACACTGATCACATCACAAGGATTGTGACAATGAAACCCAAATACTCCAGTCCTCGATAATTCTGTTCAATCTAAATTTCAGAAATATCAAAACAAGTTGTTTTCAGGTTTTACATTTTAAAGAATATTTTCTTAGCAAAAGAAGACATTCTAGTGGGCCTCTTTTTTTATATTTAAAGAAGCTGATTGCTTTTTGAATGAATTGCTTTTGAGCATCCCAATTTTGAAATTTTAAAGAGACCAAGAGAAAATGCACTTGTGTTGAATAAACACTGCTCTGAACACGCAGCTTTATTTATTTATTTACTTAGGTACCAGGGATCGAACTCAGGCCCTTGTGCTTGCAAGGCAGGCAGCGGAACCACTGAGCCAAACCCTTGGCCCAAAATTATTAAAGTCCTGAGATTTTTTTTTTTTTTTTGGTGGTACCAGGGATTGAACTTGGACCCTTGAACATGCAGCTTTTAAACACAGAGAGTTGCAAGCTAGCTTTTAATCCTGTATCGTCTAGCATATAGTGTGAACATGGCAAGAACTTCAGCCAAATCCATTTTAATTTGTATTCTATTCTGGTAAATAAACGTATGCATAAACTTTGACACATACCATGCAAAGACGTGCTAACAAAAATATTTTTATATATTTACCATTCAAAAATAAACCTGATCTCCCTTAGAGAGATATGCTGGTCTCCAATTCTGAACTTTCTGAAATACCAAGCAAAACTAATAGAATCCTAGCAGGGATATGAACAGTTTTTGCTAATACATCAAATAAAATTATTAACCTGATTCCAAATCTAAGTACATGAACCCTCATCCCTTTGGAATGAGAAATAAATTTTCTCTGGTTTATGTTTATGTTCATCTATAATTTTAGTACATTATTAGTTGCTAGAAAGAGTTTAAATCTTTTCACTGCTGAAAAATGTGATAGCTTTTAGGTTTAAACCAAATGAGAAATAAGTTAAAATGATACTGGATGCTGGTAAAAATGAGACAGTATTTGAAAACAAAACAAAATAAGGAGCATGTGGAAATGATATTCCCATCTTATAAAATCAAGAAGGAGATAAATATTTTTAAAAATCATGTTACACAGTGATATGAAAATAATAAAATTTAATTTTGCTCTCATTTTGGCTTAGCGTTTTTGGTTTCTTATCAGTTACCCATATTACTTACTAGAAGCTCATTGTTTGTTGACATTTCTCATCTTATCCCTGTGAGAATTCTGCTCCGACGTTTCCACTTTTAAAATTTATTTATTTTTGCTTGTTGTCAGCTATCACATTTTATCTTGTTTCCAGATGTCCACAAGGATGGAAAGGAAACAGATGCCACATCGAGTTCAGCCCTGCTGCTTCTGATTTTATGTACGCTCCAAACAGTAAGTGACATGCCTAAAAGAATTGCTTGGTTTGCAGTCATTAATGTATTTTATTGACTATTTATCTTTTCAACTGGTTTGGAATTACAGACATATGGATCCTCCTGGGTATTGGATTTGCATTCCTGATGACTCATATCACAGTAGCCATTCTGTGTTTCCTTGAAAACAGGAAAGTATCAGGCAGGTAAGCAACGCCTTTAATTATTGAAAGACACGTACACAGCAGGATAATAATCTGAAACATTTCGCTTGCTCTGTTTTCTATATATTGGTGTGCATGAAATGTTCATGTTTCTGTAGTTTATTTTTTATGGTTTGTTTGTTTTTCTGGGCAGAAGCAATTACTCTTCATTTTGGGGGGGAAAATTCAATTTATTTTTCCCATTATTATTAGGGACTTTGGGGCATAACAAAATAGAGAGGGACTGGGGCTGGATGCATACCATTCTGGTGGTGTCCAAGGAAGGCAGAAAAACTCCTTTCTTGGCTCATATAAGGAGCCTGGCCTCTCCTTACCAAGAAGACACCCATATCCTAAGCAAAGTGCAAGCAAAGGCCCAGAGCTGCTGTGCAGAAGAAACTCTCCAGGCTGGGTTTAAGCATAAATGAGAGGCCCTTACTGTCTCTACAGACAGCTTTCTAGGATCTGACGGGCTCTGTCACACAGCTTATTTTTATTTCCAGTAAAGTTTTTCTTTTATTTGGAGTCAACCTAAAATAGTTTGACTCTCTTTGCTAGAGAAGTCGCCAATTTCATAGACTGTAATAGAAAGGTGCTTGAATTTCCATATTTCCAGTAAAAAGATACTAGCTTCGTGCTTTGGGCCACCAGTATGGTTTACAGTTTACCCCAGTGATGAAAGAGATTGATTTTCCACACACTTATCAGGACAAGGGCCTACAAAACTATGTGAATTTTTAAGAAATTAAAGAAATATATCTTGTCCTGCACACCTGAATTTGTACTTAGAGATACAGACCATGGTCAACATGGAAATGTCACACAGCAGCGCATAATGTGCCATCTTTCCTGTGTCAACTCATATATCCTACCAGGCAAATTCTTCTCAGATCTCCAGCCTGCCGTGATGTTAATTAACAGACACCCATCTTGATTTCATGAACCCGGGCAAAGTTAGTGTAAACTACGATGTTCATTACCAAAACGATGTGACAGTTTTAATCTGTTCCCATTAAGATCTCATCTATGCATTAATTCTTTCTTTAATTTTTGTGTGCCTCAATATGCCAGGCAATGTGAAGCTTAAATATCACATGATTTCTCGTATAAGAAAAGCTCATACATCCATCACATAGATAGATAGATAGATAGATAGATAGATAGATAGATAGATAGATAGATAATAGATAAATAGAAAGTAGGGAGATCTTTTTTCACATGAACAAGAGAACAGGAGGTAGAGGGAGAAGAGAAATGGGAAGGAAAGGGAATGGAAAGGAAAGAATTGAGGGGAAAATGATGAAAATAGAGGTTTTGCAAATGGGAAGGGAACCAAGAGTAGGAAGGAGCAGGGAGAGAGGGGAGGGGAGGAATTAAAAAAGCAAAAGAATTAAGATGTGTTGTGCACATGAACCATTTTCCCACACTAGCCATAATCATTATGCACTGAAAACATGTACTAATGAAAAAGCATGAATGAGACACAATCTGAACTCAAAGTTCTTGATTCTAGTGGGAGAAACACGCATGATCCACTAGGTGAAATACTAGTTGTACTATTTGCGTGCTGGAATACACATATATATGAGGTGGGATTCTCCAGCAAAGATATTATAAGATATACATATATAGAGTCTCCAAAGAGAGAGACAGCGAGAGAAAGAGATGACTTTATGTTTTAAGGAATTATCTCATGCAGTTGTGAGACTGGCAAGCTTGAAACCTGTAAGACCAGCTGTCAGACTGGAAATTCAAGTAAGAGTTGGTGGTGAGCCCTGAAACCAAAATCTGTAGGCCAAGCCAGCTGGCTGGAAACTTTTGCAGGGTTTTTATGTTGCTGTCTTAAAGCAGAATTTTTTCTTCTTGAGGAAATTTCAGTCCTTGCTCTTGAGACCTACCCACATTACGGGTGAGTAAAAAAAGTAAGTTTCTTTACTTGAACATCTATAACCAATTGACTTTAAGCAAAGCAAAATACTGTAAACGTTTAAATATTTTTAAAAAATCCTTCCCAGCTACATCTAGAGCATTGTTTGACAGAACAACTGGGCAGGGCACCACAGCTTAAATGGACTCATCCAGTTAATCCTCATGATGTGTGAACGGGTTGTTGCATTAACGCAAGCAGTCAGAGGACGCAGGAGTCCTGAACTCCAGAGCTCGTCCAAGTTCCTGTTGGGCAGCCTGGATGATTGGGCTGCTGACAGGTGCCTCAGGCAGATGTGGGTGCCACTGTGTCACAACCCAAAAGAGCCGCCTGGCCTTTCTCTTTCCCGTCATTGAGATGTACCGGTTCCTTTCCTCTTCGTGTCCTTTCTTTGTGAAATTCTGGTTTCCCTTTCCATACTTGGTTGTTCATGATGCCTCAGTTTTCTTTCTCTGTCCCTCCTGGCCTCAGCTCCTTCTCATCACCTGTTGCTGCATCCCTGGGTTTGCCTCTTACCCACCCGCCTTCCATGGGAACATCTGTGTACCTTCCAGCTCCAGTGTTTCAAAGGCTGTTATCAGTATGTTACTGGCTTCAGCTCCCTCTGACTGAATTTCTGTTCTAAACTCCAAATCCATACCAAGTTGTGAGCCATTTACCAGACTCCTCCATATGAATTTTTTCTGGATACTTCGACACTAGTATATGGTATATTAGTGGTTGTCCTTTCTGTTTCCATGAGCCTAACCCTTTAAGATCCCAGGATAAAGGGGAAACCCATTCTCTGAGATGAGAAGCTTAGTTTTCATTGTCCTGCCAGAACCAACCAAAATTCTAATCTGAAAACAACAACCCCTCTTATACAAGGGTCACTAGGAATTGAGTGAAATTAGCTCTGCTCTTCAAATAAAGTCAAAATGGATCAAAGATCTAAATATTAAAACAGAAACACTAAGCCTGCTGGAAGAGAGAATAGGTAGAACTCTTGAGGATATAGGAGTAGGCAAAGACTCCACGAACAAAACCCAAACTTCAGGGGAGATTGGGCAAAGAATCAACAACTGGGATCTCATCCTATTAAAAAGATTTTGCATGACAAAAAAAAATCACCAATAGATTGAAGAGACAATCCACAGAGTGGATGAAGGACTAATATCTGGAACATACAAAGAATTGAAAAAAAAAAAGCAGACCCCCTGGATTTAAAAACTCAATCCAAAAATGGGCATCTGAAATAAATAGACACCTCGCAGACGAAGAGGTAGAAAAGGTAAATGAATATGTCAAAAAATGTTCAACATCACCAGTCATCCAAGAGACACAAATTAAAACAAGTCTGAGATTCCATCTCACCCCAGAAAGAATGGCTGTTATCAAGAAATCAAAAGCAAAAGCTGTGGCGGGGCTGTGGGAAAAAAGAACCCTTCTCCACTGTTGGTGGGGGTGCAGACTGGTGCAACCACTGTGAGGTCAGAGTGGAGATTCCTCAAAAAATTAGGATTAAAGGTCCCGTTTGATCCCACTATTCCCCTGTTGAGTATCTTCCCAAAAGAATTAAAAGCATCATACCCACAATGATATATGTTCATCTTTGTTTATAATGACACAGTTTATAATAGCTAAATTTACAAAACAATCCAATGCCCATCAACTAATGAATGGAAAAAAGATATGTTTTTTTAATACAGTGGAGTACTACTCAGCCGTAAAGAAAGATAATTGATGTATTCATCACTAAATGGCTGCAACCTGAGACTATACTCAAGTGAAATAAACCAGACACATGTCAATATTGCCTGTGTCTCTGGTGTGAGAAACTGAAAGGGTAAATAAGGACCAAAATATGTAATAGATTATATGAAATCAGAAGAAAATGTTCAAAAAGAAAGGGAAACTGTGATGGGGGAAGGTGGAAAAAGGAAGGGAAAGGGGACAGAAAAAGAAAGAAAAAATGGAAACAAAGCTCTTGTAAATGGGGGGTGTTGGAGAGAGGGAAGGCAACTGGGAGAAACATGAGGAATCAAAATATACCACGTACAGGGATGAATGTGATTCCTCTGATGAATGTGATAGTTAGGTATATTTAAATTGTACCAATAAAATTAACTTTTAAAAACTAAAAAAAGAAAGAGGCTTAAAGTACCACGCACATTAATGACTCACCAAGGACTGCCAATAGTTAGAGTAAGACACAACCTCTCCCTCCAGGCTAACGGAGGGAAGCAGAAGCTGCTACATTACCAGTGTTCTCACGAAAGAACTGGAAAGAAAGGGGATGTGGGATTCTTAAAGTCTTTGTCCTTGGAGTGTTTGTGGTGAGAGCTTTTTGCCTCTTTCCCAGAGGAGGAAATGTTGGAGGGGAGGAAGACGCCACTACCAGCACTATGCAAAGCCCAATGGTGGAAGGGATCCAAGAGAATCAAGAATTAAGACCAATGATATCAAGAAAGGAAAAGTAGAAAATTTTGCAAAAAAAATCCCTCTGAAATAGAGCAGGGTATCAAGAAAACATTCTTAGGGAGATCTGGGAAAAATGAAGAAGACTGGTGAAGGGGCGATCATCTTACAGCCCGGTTATACATGGTCTTCAAAAGGTGGGAAGAACTTGTAGCTTCCTGTGGTCCACTTCAAGAAGCACAAAGAACAGAAATAAAATGGAATTATAGGGTCATCCAGACAGCTTCCAATGGAAGTTAATTGATCTCCCTGGAAAGGACATGGAGGGCAGGGCCAGGTTGAAAGCAGACACAGCTGTCTGCTTTTTTAAAGGTGTTCAGTAATAGAAGGAACCCAGGGGAACTTTATGCTCATGCAATATGAAGTCTGTACCATCTTCATGGAGGATACAACAAAAAGGACATCAACCCCACGCCCCCTTCAGAACTAAAGAGGCACCTCCCCACATTGACCAGTGACCAGTTACATAAGGAGATTCCAGCCTCTGCTTCTTTCGGTCTGTACTACAGAACTGAGCCCTGACTAAAAGAGTGGGAGTGTATCAGATCCACACCATGACCCTCACCCTCACCCTCAATCCAGGCAATAGCCTTGGTCAGACCTCAACATTACAGTTGGA